AGCGGTACGCCGTCGCCGAGGGCTGGGTCGTGAACGTTGGCAAGAAGCCATGGGAATTTGCATTTGCTTGTGAGGTAGCGGTACTGCTTGACGCCAAAATCGAGGTCGTGGTTCTGGTTGAGGGTCAGATATAGCTGAACTCAGGGAGATGGATGTACGTACACCAACACAAGACACGTCTGTACCAATGGTGTTGAGCACAGGTACCATGTGACGGCCTAGTTGTGTCCATCAGATTCATTTCTCAACAAAGGTCAACAATCTTGGTTTCCTGACCTTTGGTGATACTGCTTTCAATGCTTGGATTAAAGGCATCTCCTGAGAAGAAGGTCAAGAGGTTTGGCTGCCCTTGGAACCTCTCATCGTCCCGGTAGTAATTGACCAGAGTCTGAAACCTTGCATAACCCCCAACCGGCTCTCGAGACCCGGCCTCGACATGGTAAACATCATTGTAGTGTAGGAAGCGAAGGTCTGGCGGGGCGTTTGGGGCCCCGCCTTGAGGCTCGCAGATGAGCTGCTCCTCAGCTGAAAGGGTTTCTGATGATGCCATTGCAGAGTCGACAGAATGAATTGAAGAAGGACCGGGCAAAAGGAGCAATCTATGGAATTGAAGCACTTATGTCGGCCTCTTCGAGCGGTGAGATATGCTGCATCATTGCTGCGAGTTGGCGCGCCAGGGTCCAGATGGCCCGTTTGGCTGCACGGCATGGCATTTATACACTGACCAATGACAGCGAGGCAGTTTCACGACAGAAGTGGATCTCCAGGGGCAGTGCTGGGGTTGGCGGGGATCCGGCAGCCAGTCCACACACGACCAAGTTAAGTAACATGCACACGCGTCAGGCCCTTCGGCTTCCACCGCTCATGACACTACTATACCAACCAACCACTTGGTCAAAACATGATTATCTACACTCAGCTATGCTACACAAAGGGACTACGATGGTGGGCTCATATGCAATAGTAGCGATGAGAACTCGAGGATGCGCTTCTCAATGCAGGATCCAACAACCATGCAAAACGCCAGATAGCCTGCCATGGCGGATATCGCACGCCCAGCTACCACTGGCCTAGCAAAAACAGCGCCACGATACCTGCCTTTCCACAGAAGAAAAGAAAACGCCGCCAGAGCCCACACAAATGAATCAAAAGAAAATCAGACCCAAGCCGGAAGCCCTCAGAGAGCATTCCAACCATCCCAGAGATTTAACCTAGCCTTGCCCTTTCCCTTCGGGCCTTGCCTAGACCCAGCTGTCGCCGGACCCGTCCCAGAACGCCTTGAACTCCTTCCTAATTCCTATTGTCTACTACTTCCCGGACGGCCCCCCTTGGCCTTGGCTTTGGCATGTGTGTCCTTGCACTCGTCGCTGCAGAACCATTTCGCCCGCCCCGTAGGCGGCTTCTCAAGGTGTACGCAGCCGAGATGGAACCACTCGCGCGGGCAGTCATCGTTGTCGCAGGCAATCATGTTGCCGTACGACACTTCGTTGCAGTAGCAATATCGCGGCTCGTCTCCGTCTTCTTCTGATTCCACCTCAGCCTCAGCTTCGGGCTCGGCTTCTTGATAGTCTTGTTCTTGTGCAACAGAGCTGGCCGCCGATGATGTAGGGTTCGATTTGACCTGGGACGTGGCCTTCATCGCTGGAGATGCATTTCCAGCATTGGTGTTTTGTTGTGCGTTCCTCTTCTGGCCCCGTTTCGATACGGTGCCAGCACTTGTACTATTGTTCTCTGACGACGTGTTGGAGCCGGCATTGTTTGCATTGCGGCTGCTGCGGCTCCGCGACATGGCTACCTCGGGAAAGGCGCCGACAACGGGCGTCGAAGTCTTGGACGTTCGGCCGGGTCGGCCTGAGGCTGGGGCCGGCGCAGGGGTATCAATCTCCATGCTTTCTGGTTCTGGCTGCCCTAGGTCTTCCACCTTCATGTTTGATGTTTCGAATGTTGGTTGTGCGTCTGCCGGCTCTTTCGGAGTCGATGTCACTTTTGTCGAGGCATTGTCCCGTGCAATACCAGCAGCTTGTTCGATTTCGGCAATCACATTGCTGGTTGGGACCTGCTGTACAGAGTGGGAAGAGGACGGTCGACGTCCGGGCGGGACATCTTGATCTTTGCCTGATGTCACAGATGTTGCCGTAGAATTCTTGCGAGCCCGCGCCGACAGGGGTCGATCTGCTGCGCCGGCAGTGGCTTTGTTGATGGCAAAGTTGGCAGCCAGGGGCGATGCAGCCATGGGAGGCGAGTATGGCGGCATTGGGTTCTTGCGTTGCGCAGGCGCGGGAGCCGCTCGTGGCTTGCGCTTCGCGGCGCTGTTCTCTGGGGCTGGCGTGCCTCGCGGGCTCGATCCACCCCGCGCTCCATTGCTGACAGCTTTCAGGGCGCTGCTTGTGGACCGTTCCATAGGAGGAGCAGCCGGTGCTGCTGCAGCGAGGGCCTTTTCTGTTTTCTTTCGCTTGCCATTGGGACCTGCACCATTACTCGATATACCTAAGCCAATCCCTCTGTTTTCAGGTGTGGGCGCAGTCTCCGCAGGTGCTGGTTTCCTCTTCTGGGGTTTCTTTGCTGGTCGGTCATCAAAGTCCGAGTCAACCTGCTGGTGCCGATTGCGTTTATTCGCGTGCATCGCCTCGCGCCGGGCCTCGCTTTTTGCAGCAATGGAGTCGACATCATGCACGTGTTGGGCCGCTGCCGCAAGGTTATTTGCCGCTGCCACTTCACGCCGCTGCCGTTCGTGGGACTGGCCACCCTTTTTCTTTTCCTCCTTGTCTGCATAAGCCCAGTGGGTGAGGCTACCGTATCGTGCTTCGTCGCTGATCTCGCCATCGAGTTGCGCGTATGAGTGGTGCATCCGCATGAGGCCCTTGTCCTTGGTGGCCTTTGCGCCCTGAAGCACTACCAGTTTCTCGTCGAGCGTAGGGAGCATGTTTGCGATGAGCATGCGCAGGCGAAAGAAGAGCTGGCGCTTCCGTATCGCGGCCTGCTCTTCCGGGGAGAGGGTCTCAGGGTTCTGGGACGGCTGCAGGTGTTAAGCTTTTACAGCTACCCTAGGTGACGTCGGTACTTACGTTGGCGCTATTTTCCGCTCCCGCTGCATTCTGGCCAACAGCTGATGCTTGAGCCCTTGTTGTGACGGGCTGGTGGGCAATCTCGTCGAGCAACTCGTCGAGCAAGTGTTCCGGGTCGTGCAGCTTAGCCTCTACCTCCTTGAACATGGAAAAGTGCTTGATGATTTCCTTAGGGAACGCATCGACGGCGCCTGTGAAGTGTGTGAGGGCTGGCAGGAAGCCGGGCGCGCTGGTCGAAGCCTCGGGTGTCTGTTCCATTCCGCTAGCAGCAAGTCGTCCGGCAAATGTGCGCGCATAGTAGTTTGTAGGTCGGACCGTGGCCCTGCCCTGTCTCGTAGAGGTTCGTGTGCCTGTGTTGGGCGGCATCGTGGCTGGAGCAGCGCTGGATCGGGTGGATGGCGTTGGAGAGGCCGCGAACGCGCTCAGCCCAGAAGCGGGTGGGTAGAATGAACTTTTGTGATAGAAATGACGTATGGGCGCATGTCAAGCGACAAGAGAGAGTTTGCTGGCGTGCCCAGCGATTTGCTTGTCGGAGAAACAGAATGCAGCGTTGACCAGGAGCTCCTCACTACCCGTCGACAAGCGCGAAAAGACGCCAAGGCTGTTGACGGAATTGAGCCTCTTCACGCACGTGTGTCCGTTATCGCTGCTAGCTCCGCCGATAGGTGACTAAGCAAAGGTGACCTCGCGTTCCAGTTTGACTCGACTTTCCCATTCCAAAATGCACAGTCTCAACATGGATCTTCTTTGTTTGCGCTGATCTGTCCAGGATTTCCGGTGAGCGGCGTCTTTCTGGTGTTAGGTTCCATAGGCGCAGCTCGGCCCAAACTTGCTTCACCCCTCAAGGTTCCTTTAGAAGTCCACTGTCGCGTACCGATTGAGACGATTACCTCTCTCCATCATCGATTGTCTGGATTACGGAAATTGTGACATTTCTGAATTCATTCATCAGCCATTGTATGGTTCCCAAGCACTTGATTATACCAGGCTCCAAGTACCGTTGGCTGCCAAGAGACTCAATTTTGAGCAATCAGAGATGCAGGGGCTTCGTTCAATCGACCGTTGCAAGATAACCAGGTGTTCATGGAAATTTAAATTGGCCTTGTAGCTGTGACTTGGTGGCTTTGTAGAATGGGGTAGTATACGTAGGTTGTCGCTTCCAAACTCATTACCCCCTACCATAGTAGTCACTTCACAGTGCCAAGTCTCGAAATTTGCAAACATGCGCACAACTATGTTCTTTTGCCTGTTCACTATTTGTCGATTCTAGAGGCAATAGTTCTTCGGATCGTCTCCGACACTTGCGAGCATCGTCGGGAGATTTCATCATGTCTCTCTCGCGTTCGTCTAGTGCTGTCTTCGTCAGAGATCACTCTAACGCCACGATGCCCGGTAGTTCGCGATTGCTGTATTATTTCATTCAATGATAAATATGTGATCACCTTGGTCAAGGCTGATCACGCATGCTGGTCCATCCATGATGCGGAGGCACGAGGGCCAAATGCAAACGCGGCATTGGCCAGTCACCTGGCAGGTCATCGTATCCCATGGACTTCGCAGCTAGCTTCAATCGCGAGGCACATGGTTGTGTGATGGGCTTCATATGGTCTTGGACCATGCTCGTCGAATTGTACGTCGGGGCAGTGAATTACGGCTGCATCATGCAGTTCATCCCTGGGCGTCAATGAGGGTGAGCTGGCCAAGCTTTCAGTCAAACGGCGCAGCTATTGTTACTGGGGACTTGAATTCACTACTCGTCTGCCTGCCGCAATCCTACCGCCACGTACCCTCTCTCCCACTTCAAAAACCTCTCGCCCAGCAGCGTCGAGACCTCGTCCGGGACCGAATTCTGTCAACACCAGTAGACTAACATCTCACAGTCACCATATCTCATCACTATTCCTTTCTAGATTTCTTCTCAACAGCGCTTTCAGCATGTCCGCCAACTGCAAGGTTGATCTCCCGACCAACCCCCTCCCGACTGAGGTCACTCGTGCCGAGATCATCCGCAAAGCCATGAGCCTCAACAACCTCTTGAACGAGCCAACTAAGAATTTGAAGGAGAGCAAGGCAATTGAACCAGGCTCGCCTCATGATCCACTCACCGCCGTGAAAGCGGAGGCCTCGTCGCCTAGTGTGTCCTCAGACACCCCCATGGCTGAGCCAGTAAGTGTTTGCCTCGCTGAGCACTTGTTTCTGAGCCTCTCTTGCAGCACCACTGCAACGCACTCAAAAGATGCCTATAATAGAGACTAAACAAGCTTTGTGTCAACAGGATGTGCCTGGTAGTACCCCAGAGCAAGCAGATGACAATGAGGATGTCCCCGATTCCCAGCGCGAATTCATCTGCATGAACGACCGACACACGCGCTGTCAGACTGGTCAGTATACCAAAGACCTGTCGCGTAAGGTCATTTCAGATCACTTTGGCCGCAACAAGGCCTGCACACGTGACATTACCGAGTGGCCACTCTTCTGCCGCAAGCACTACCAGCGTGCGACGTACGACAAAGCAAAGTGGCAGATCCGCAAAGTTCACCTCATCCTGCGCCAGTTCGACATCATTGAGAAGCAGTTCCCCGGTGCCACCTACAAGGTCACGCTCAAAAAGTCGGAGGAAATCCGCCTGAATCAGTACTCGCGCCAAGTGGCCTCAGGTATGAGCGCCGAAGATGCTGAGAAGTTGGTTGCGCCTGCTCCTGGAAAGAACTTTGAGGCGCCCGTCGAAGTGCTCCGTGAGCTGGACCTGTCGCTTGGTGGTGGCAAGACCTATAAAGAAGTTCGAGACATTGTCGACGTCATTCTCCAGATGCTTGAGGGGAATGAGTGCGAGCAGGTTCCTGCTATCGAGTTTCTTCCCGAGCTCCCCGGCAAGAGTGTGTCGCCTGTGGCGGTCCCGGTCAAGACTCCCGTTACAAAGTCAACAAGGTCTTCCAAGCGTGTCTCAAACAAAGGTTCCGTCAAGAAGACGAGCAAGAAGGCTTAGACGGTGCTATCCTTGCATCGTCTGGCCTAGTCGTCTCTCGTAGGTTTGTATACTCCTTTGTCCATCTCATCCATTGCCCTGGTGTTTGTCAATGCATCTCCAGTATTTTCTTTGTATACCGACAGTGCTGACCTTTTACCATCTGCAACAGAAGTACCCACCCGGTTCCTCTCTTCTTTCTATTCTACTACCATACGCAGTCACCGCCCCATCCGCTTCGAGCAAACCAGCAAGACTGTCTGTATGGGAAATTGTATTTGTATAAATTTTTCGGGTTCAGTTTCTACAATATCTTGTATCGTATCCGGAGGGAGGACAAGTGACTAGTCTCTCTGGAGATCCTTGGTTAGGGGTCATGTGATAGAGGTTGCTGATGGATATCACACGTGTCTGGCGTGTACGGGGATAAGATCACAGAGTTGAAGGCGGATGTGGGATTATTACCTGCAAAATCATGTACATGTATTAGGAATTAAGAATTGTAAGGAACCTTGCTTCTTATCGGCTTTGTGTGTAGTGATCGGTCAGTAAGTTTCGCCTGAATTGGCACTGCGATGTTCTGTCCTGCACCCTGGTCTTTCGAATTGCAATCAAACCCCCGATTTCCTAGTGATATCTATCAATTTGATAGATAGTGGGGAACTCAGTTTGCAGTGAAGGTGAGGGGATATAGGGCGCCAACTCAACGAAGCTCATTTTCACCGCAAGGTTCCGTGAAGCGGTATAATGGCTCTTGTAAACCTCATTCCTTCTGTCCTTTCTTACTTACAATTAAAATACTACGATATTCTCTTATCTTGCTGACACCCAGGGACATACCCTGGCTTTTACATTAGACTAGTGCAATCCACTAATGTCTTCCAGACTGACCATGCGTGAAATCTTACCATACGAAGGCACTTTTAGCTTCATATCGAGCCAACTAGAGACCAGCATCAAGAACTCTCTACCCCACTATGACAAGAAGGACCCAAGGACATGGCCTTATGTGACTTTGGCTACCATCGAGGAGCGTCGCCCTTACTACGGCTACCCAGATCTTCCAGCTGGCGTTGCTTACGAGCGGTCGGTCATGCTGCGATACCACGCCATGTACTCGGCTGAAGATCGCAGGCAAAGCGTTGCTCTAAACGGCTCGTTCCACGAAAGATATCCTTGCAACTACAATCATTACGATCAGCTGAAGGACTGGGTCGGTATGTCCAAGGCGGAATATCAGAGCTACATGGCAAATGCCACCGAAGACATCATGTACATGACAGAATATGCATACGATGACGGGTTGTGCCTTCCAATACGCCAATCGGCTGCTACAAGAGGGAACAGGACTCTGAATAGCGAGTGCTGCACAAATAGCACATGCATCGAGACCAGACGCGAAGCCGCCAAACTCCGAAAGGAAATTCCGCTCAAGGAAAGCCAACTCATACACTGCCAGCAGAGCCTCAAAGAACTTGAAGCAACCAAAGAACGAAGACACAACGCGCCAGGCGACACCCAAGCCGAACTCGAGAAGCAGCGACAACGTGCCGATGCAGCAGAGCGCGAATGCGAGATCCGCAAAGCAAATAATATCAAGCTACTACATCGGGTACGGGAGCTAGAAAGAATCGTGGTACAGAAGGATGAACTTGAAGCGTATTGCAGTCAGTTGAAGGAGGAGATTGACGTGCTCAAGGGAAAGCGAAGGCGAGATGTTGTGGAATCAGATGCTGATGAGGATTTGATGGAGGGATATGTCTCCAGTGCCCAGAAGACGAGGTCGTCTAGCGTGGATTGGTCGTACTAGGGGATGGAGGTTGAAATGTAAGAAATGATGTGAGTACAAGGAGTAGTCGAGGACGCCGCGGAGTTGCTGCAGATCGGGTTCGGCAACGCTAGGCCTTTTCCATGCCAGTTCACAGGCCTTATTCCCCGCCCTTTTGCGTCATCCTCGCACGTTGTTATTTGTGGTTCGAATACTGCGGGGCACTGCTTCAATGAGTAACAAGTCAGCCATTGGGCTTGGCTGGGCACTTTGCTTATCAAAGCGCGCCCTGTAGCTTTATTTGGTCTGACATTCCCGCTAATAAGATCGAGTGGAGATATAAGATAGCACGATCTGCAAAGCAGCAACATCAATTGAACTGTAGGAATCACAGCTCTTTTGGGCGTCTGATCTTTTTGAAAAATTTTGGAATTACGGCTCACAAGTAGCAACGACACCACGAGAATGGGGCCTTCACGCACTACCCAAGCTGCAGTCATACTGTCAGCATTCGTTCTGCCCATCCTTACTTATCTGTATTTCACCAGGAGCCAGCAGTCAAAAAAGACAGCCGGGCCTCTACCCCCACCAACAGAAATTACTTCGCTCTTCGTACACCCAATCAAATCATGTCATGGAATATCAGTACAGTCGGCAAAGCTCTTACCTACAGGCCTCGATCTCGGTACGGACTTTCCAAATACAATCAGAATTCCAGATTCGAGGATACTAACCGTGTCAGATCGGCAATGGATGTGGGTCGGCTATCCAGAATACGAATTCCTTACCATCCGCCAAAACTCCAAAATGACCTTGATCCGGCCTACGTACGATGAGTCGACTGACACTCTGACCGTCACCGCACCAGCACCAAACTCGATAGATGAGAAGCTAGAGTTTTCCATCCCGGCGCATCCGTCAAAGGAGTGGCTTGATGAGAATACTGAAGCCCATTCAGCAAAGATTTGGAGTACTACAACAGGAACTCGTGTCTACTCTCCCGAGCTGACTGCCCCCTTCAATGCCTTCTTCGACAGGGAAGTACGACTTGTGTACAAGCCGCCTGTATCTGATGATCCTCGACCACTCGGCTCGAATGGAGCACCAGCTGTCCTAGGAAGAGACGCGTCGACTTGTTTTCCCGATCTAATGCCCATCCTAGTTGGTAATAAGAGTAGTATCGATGAGCTCAACACGCGTGTCAAAGCTGCCGCAGACCACACTATTGATGTCCGCCGCTTCCGACCTAATATCGTCGTTAAAGGCGAAAGCAATGCTCCTTGGGATGAAGATCGCTGGAAGACTATCAAAATCACACCAAAGTCTGGCGAGGAACCCATCGTCCTGGACATTACTCAGCGGTGTGCACGCTGTCAGGTGCCTAATGTCGACCCTGATACAGCCGAGAAGCACAAGACGCAGCCTTGGGATGTGTTGATGAAGTACCGGAGGATTGACGAGGGCATCACGTATAAGCCCTGCTATGGCATGTTGGCTGTGCCAAGGACGGTGGGAGAAGTAAGGGTGGGAATGAAGTTTGAGGTGACGGAAGTAACTGCCGAGCATCGATACATTGCTGGTTTTTAGATTATGTAGTAGTTAGAAGATATCAGCAATTTTGTTGCTACAAAGAACAATGGCATGACTTGACTATCAACCCGCGTTGAGAGGACACGTGCGAAGATATGTCTCTGGTCCAATTACATATCACATGTCATGACCAAATATTCCCGATACAGAACCCTACGCGACAAGCGCATCGTAGGACGGGTAAAACGCAGGAGGGCCGGCGACCCGAGGCAGATTGATTGCCAAATCTCAATCTTCCTCCCAAAAAGAGAGCGGCTGCATTGGGTGGGCGGAGCGGAAGAATACACGGCTAAACACCCAACGTCACCAAAAGCTCGTCACAACATCCAACACGGGACGAAACATGTGTAAACCCGCGCCATTGAGCAAAGGCAGGTGGATATTCTTATGAACCGTCTTGGATGCCCAAGTGAAGAGAGCTTGGCCTTGGGAGGATAGCCGTGCCGGCGGGTAAATAGGGAGGGAGCTTGTCCGGTGGTAGGATGAGGGGAGCGAGGGAACCGTGGGGCAACAGGAATACCCCTCCATTCATAAGAGCGGGCTTGTCGTATGAAATAGAATCCATTAAACCATTTATTTTCTTTTTTTTCTTCTCCCAATCCATCCAATCTCCATACGCCAAGGACACATACATACTATATACCTGTATTTCAAGTAAAAAGACAAAGAAAGAAAGAAAGGAACAACACCAACATGGCGGACAAAGACCCCATCGTAACCCACATCTTCACCGCAGACCCCTCTGCTCACGTCTTCAACAACAAACTCTACGTCTACCCCTCGCACGACCGCGAGTCCAACATCCCCAACAACGACAATGGCGACCAATACGACATGAACGACTACCACGTCCTGAGCATGGACTCGGTCGGCGGCCCCGTAACCGACCACGGCGTCGCCCTCCGCCAGGAAGACATTCCCTGGGTCAGCAAGCAACTCTGGGCGCCCGACGCCGCCACCAAAAACGGGAAATACTATCTCTTCTTCCCGGCCCGCGACAAGGAAGGTATTTTCCGCGTGGGCGTCGCCGAGGGAGATAAACCCGAAGGCCCCTTTAAGCCCGAACCCGAATTCATCAAGGGAAGCTTCAGCATTGATCCGGCCGTCTTCGTCGACGACGACGGCGCCGCGTACCTGTACTTTGGCGGCATCTGGGGCGGCCAGCTGCAGTGCTGGCAGACGGGCAAGTTTGAGCGGAGCGCGTACGAGACTATGGAGGCGCAGTCTGGGCCAGCTCTATGCGCTAAAGTAGGCAAACTGACGGATGATATGAAGAGTTTCGCAAGCGACGTGACGGATGTTGTGATTTTGGATGAGGAGGGCAAGCAGCTCCAGGCTCAGGATCACGATAGGCGGTTTTTCGAGGCCGCGTGGTTGCACAAGTATAATGGCAAGTATTACTTTTCATACTCGACGGGCGATACGCATTTCCTTTGCTATGCGATTGGAGATAGCCCCTTGGGTCCGTTTACATACGGTGGAAGGATTCTGGAGCCCGTGATTGGGTGGACGACACATCATAGTATTGCGGAGTTCAAGGGCAAGTGGTATTTGTTCTACCACGACTCGAGTCTGAGTAAAGGGGTGAACCATCTGCGGTGCGTCAAGATCCGCGAGATTGTGTATGACGAGGCGGGCAAGATTAAGTTGGCGGAGAGCCAGCCAAAGGTTGAGAGTAGCTAGACACCCCTATTCTTTCCAAATGAAAATTTCTTGTAGTTACTTCATGTTCGATTTGTATTTCATGTACCGGGATATTTAGATAGATCCACCCCTGAACGCCGTTAAATACTTCACATGTACACTCCCCCCCCCCTACCCAACCCATCCTCTACTATGTACCGACCCACTCAACCTCACCTTCATCATAAGTCCCGCCCTCTTCGCCTCCCCATCCGCCTCCCCTTCATGCAACCACACCCCCTTCCCATCATCAAATACGCCCTTCATATCCACCACCGCTCCACACACCCCATCCGCCTCGCCCCAAGGAAACCAGCTCTGCTCCACCGCCGTCCACACCCCACCGCGTCCCCCGCGCGCATCCCACATGCGATCCCCGCCCACGGCAGACTCATGGTATCCGACTGCAGACTGCGGCGCGCGGAAGTACACGCGGAGTAACGCGCGTCTGTACTTTGCGTACCAAAGCGAATCCCACGTTATCTTCGAGGGTGCGAGGTTGGGTTCGCGAGGTAACTGTGCAGATAGGGCAGCGGGGATAGCGCCTGTGTAGGTGTTTTGGATCAAGGGGACGTCGGTCCAACGGACGTTGCGGTCGGGTAAGGTGTCGATGTTTGGGTCGTACTCGAGGTTTTTAATATGTGTGGAATGGGTGTGCGGGGAGAGACTGGTTTTTGCGGGGTCTGGACGCGAGAAGGGTGTGTTTGCGTTGTCAAGGGCGGCTGGAGGGGAGAGATGTGATGGGTCGCGGTTGAAGTCGGTGTAGGCGGTCAGGTTGTTATTTTTACTGTGGACGATGGGGATGAGTTCGTCTGGGGTGGTGTAGAGGAGGGGCTGGAAGAGGGTGTGGGCGTAGTCGAGGCCAATGGAGAATTCCTGTCTCGTGAAATTGGAGAGTTCGAGCTCAAGCTTTGCTTGTTTTAGTCTGTGTCTAGCTGCTGATTTCCTGGATCCGCCGTCGAAGAAGTTTCTGAATTTTGCGCCGACAGATATGGTTTCTACCTCGACGGCATCGCGACTCAACTGTTGCTCTGCAAATAGTGTAGCAAACACGGACTGAATGGTCGGCGACTGACTCTTGCGATCCAGAAACTTCTTCTGTGCAGCCTCATACAACTCTCTCAAATCTCTTGCCGGACCCATGACCATCCTGGCGTTGATAAATTTGGCGGGCGTGTCTGAAATCAGCCGGCCAGTCTCAGTAGTGTACAAGTTGTCGGGAGATGGCGACAGTGGCACATATTTGCACGCCTTGTCATCTCCCTCGCACATCTTCTCTGCTCCGAATACAATGGTCTGGTTGAACTTCTGAACCCCGTTCTCGTCAGTTCCATATCTCTTCAACAACCGTAAATTGCTATCTTCAAGTAACTGCTTGTACTGCTTAATCATCACATCGCTTGGAAGCTGGAACCATGTCTGCTGCGCATCAACCATCAGCACCAAATCCTTGTCTTTGACCAACTTCGTGTTGCTCAGGTAATGCAGCGTGTCATTGAGAATCGCCTCGTGTCGTTTTTCACTCGTCGCATAACCAGAATTTAACTGCACCATAGTCGGTGGAGGATAGTTGAGCAACATGGCAGACAGCGTCGATTTGCAAAAGTTGTGTGAATCGTACTCGACCTGCATGATGAGGTGGAAGTTGGGCGTCGTTTTTTTAAGTTTTGCCGGTACATGGTCGATTTGGCCGTTTTCAATCTGTAGCGTCAAGTTCGAGGGTGTCTTGAACGACGAGCTTATGGATTCGGGTAGGGTAGGAAGGTATGCTCTCCAGGGATAATATGAAGACATGCTACGGTATCTTGAAGACAACTCCTACCGTGATGTCAGTGTGTACCGTCCGCTTCATGGATGCTGCATGTGCTTTGCGGCATACCTCACGGTGTTTCATTCCTGTCAGCCCTAGAAAAATCGACAATAACACAGCAACCATAACCACCATCCTTCCCCTCCTCGTACACACCCATTGTATCGCTGCTCCGCCAACCTCCTTTGGCGATGGCGTGGGTGAGGTGACCTTTGGGGTAAGCAAATCGCCCACCATACTGGCCCGCCAAGAAAGTCTGCTAGTAGAGACCAAGGGCCCTGAATATCACTAGCTGAAAAAAGAAAGGGCTCCCTGGCCCTGGCAGGTCGGAACAATAGAAGAGGAGATAAAGAGAAAAAGATCATTTGAGTTTCGACCCTCCCGGTCGAGTAACCACGACATATGTATGGTAATACAAGGTACTGACCAAGTACCGCCGCAACGGGGCCTATCGCACTGTGGCACCCTTCCTGGCAATTCTCCGTAATCTCATGCGGAAGTCGTACGTAACGTCCATCCCTCCGTGGCGCAAATCCCTGTGTGCCGCAATCGGCCAATCAGCTCGCTTAAATCACG